AAGACTGTATTTTTGAACTGACTGCAGAATTTATGAACTGATAATAGGTTATATTTGAAGTTTGGCACATACAAAACATTGTGTATTGTCAAGTCAGAGAAAATCTGTACACTACCTATATGAGTGACACTTACAGAATGAGAGTTAGGAAGATTTATATTGATTGGAATTCTAAGAGTAGATAAAGAAATAAATGAGTCAGAATTGAAACACATATGCTCTGAAGCCCTTGAATCTATGATCCAAGTTCCAAAATTAAAAACAGAAAAACAAATCCCAAAGTACTTTAAAATAGTACCAGCCATTGCATTAGCATTAATTTCAGGTGCTGCATTTTTTGTTGTTGATTCTGGGATCTTCATTTGCTTCATCACTTGAATGAAATGGCCAAATTGTTCCTTGCTCATGTGCTGATTGATTTGATCCATATAGTAGTTAGGATCCTCTTCCTCCATAAAGACAGCTGCATTCCCTCTAACTGGTGCTGAATAGTTTTTGTCATTTGTGAAATTGAAATCCTCAGGGAACCCAATCAATCTGTAACAATCATCTATGACATGACCTATTTTACCACAATGAGTACAAGAAACATTAGGATTATATTTCTTCTTTCCTTTGAACCGTTGATTCTACCTTGGGTATCTAGTGCTTGCTGGTAGTTATTCATTCTAGGATAGCCCATGTTTGGCTTGGATCCAGATCCTGATCCTGATGCACCTGGGCTTAACTTCTAAAACTGCTTACCATTTTTGTTTTGATTCATATTGTTAACCATGAAAGATGAAGAGTCATTAGGCATAATAGGGCTCATGTATGAATCATTTTGGTTCTCATCCTTTAAGATCAAGGAATAGGCAATATTAATGTTAGGAAGAGGATTCATCATAAGAATGTTTCCCCTAGCTTAAGCATATGTATCATTGAGTCCCATGAGAAACTATATGAGCATTTCATCTTCCACAGACTTTTCCGATTTTTGTTTTCCTTCATAGATGCACACACAAGTGCACTTATCCTGTGAATCAAGTGAAGCCAACTCATCCTAGAGTCTCTTGAGTTTAGTAAAGTATCCTGCAATGTTGTTAGTTCCTTGCACTAGCCTGTTAAGTTCCTTTTTCAAATGGAAAAGTTTAGCACCATTTGATTGACCAAATCTATGCTCCAAACTCATCCAAAATTCCTTAGCAGTTCTAGAGTATATAACACTATCTGCTATTTCTTTTGAAAAAGAATTAAGAAGCCAAGATGTTACCATGTCATTGCACCTACTCCAAGGTTGCACATCTGGTGATGTTGGATCTGGTGAAGGATGTGTTCCAGTGATGAAACCCAATTTGTTCTTTGCAGAATGTGCTATGAGGACTGATCTCTTCCATCCCTGATAGCCCCTTCCATCAAAAGTGTTGCTCACCAGTCCCATTGCAGGAGAGTGAAGAATGAAGATATAAGGCATAATTGATATCAATCTTTGTTCATGAGGATGATCCAGCTACCAAATCTTCAGGTGTTGATTCAGGATTTGTGGCAGATTCGTTAGTCATGATTGGAGATGATTGATTATCTGATTACTGCTCTGATACCAAGTAGGAATTGCAAGAAACAATAAAGAGATAGTATTGGAAATTTCATGTGTATTCATCTCTTCTAAATACATGTATATATACAGCTATGTGGAAATCAAAAGAACGTTCTATTCCTAACTGACTGTACAGCTGTCCTACTACTATTTGCTAATTCAATAAAACACTTTATTCTCTAACAATGTCTAGAAAAGAAGGATAAAATAGACAAACTAGCTGAAATTACTTCTAGGTATCCAATATGTACACAAGCTAGAAATTTTATCAAGTTGGGCCTATATTCAAATTGGTATTTTGAGGGCCAGCCTGAGGAAGCCTAAATGTCTTGCCACCATTCGTGTGCTTTGAGACCGACAAATCCTAGGGTTCTTCTTCCTTACTTGATTGTCCTCATTCTCTTTGATGCATTTCTCCATTGAAGAAGTTAGAGCTGAAGAAGAAGTCAGAGCAAAAATCTCAACAGTACTGTTGTCGATGATAAAGAATACACGAATAGTTTTTCAATCTTACAGTCTACTGTCTTGTTAGCAGTGCAAACTGAGAATAAGAAGATGGTATTTTGAGAACAGAACCGGTGACACTACCTATGTAGGGCACATGTTTCCTCTGCCTGAGAAAGATATTCGTGAAAGAACAAATTGCAGATAAATGGCAAGATAACTTTGCCATGTTTAAATATCATTTTGAAATATAATCACATTTTCCATTTGCTAACCCGTAGGCCATAGATGATGTTGTGAAATCAGTTGATACATCTGTTAATTTGAATAATAAAGAGGATGCGGCGAGTGATGATTTATGCATTAGCAAACCCGTTGGAGTACTAGAAGTGTAATTCCACCTAAAAGGTTGGACAGTTACCTTTGGGCTGGAAGAAAGTCATGTGAGCAGGGAAAGAGTTAGTTATGGAATTAGTATAGAAGTGTGAGAACGTGGGTAGGAAAGGATAAGTTATTTGTGATTCTGAATAATCTCATCTCCTTCTTCTGTCTTCTGAACCCCTTCTAGACTTCTAGTTTTAGATTTCAAGTTTATTTCCATAAGTTGTTGTTTCCTATAATTTCCTTTGTTCCAAAACTCAAGTCCCTCGCAGACTCCATACAGGGGGTAAAAGAGTCATTCTCGAGTGAAATCTTTGAGATGCGATATATATTGAAAGAAGTGGTAGGTCACGTCATGGCACTAGGTTCCCAAAATGATACTTCTGTAGCGGCAACACCTCGACAACGTCAAACTACTGAAGTTTATGGCGGTCAGGCATCAACACCTCCTATTTTACGCCACAAACTGACTTCGGTTGAATTAGGGCGATTCCATGGAGTGAATCCTGAATCATGGGTTTTCCAAGAAGAGCGTTACTTTGAATTTTATGGAATCACTAAGGATTATAAATTAACACTAGCCTCATTCTACTTGGAAGGCGATGCATTGGAATGGTACCGATGGCTTTTTCGCAACAAACAGTTAGTTAATTGGGAGCATTTTGCTGAGAAACTGTTGGTCAGATTTCGAAAACGAGATCTGGAGGCACTAGAGGGTCGACTTTCTAAACTTCGGCACACCACTATGATTGCTGAATACTAGAGTCGCTTTGAAGCAGTGTCTAATGAGACGATGCATTTTCCAGATCAGGTATTAACCCATTTTTTTACTTTTGGACTGAGTCTTGATATTAAAACTGCTATTTTAATTCGTAAACCCACGAAATTAAACGAAGCTATATGTTTAGCCCATTTATACGGGAAAAAGATTCAACTTGAGAGTGGTTCTTTTAAACCTGCTTTCAGTAAAACTCCACCACTTCTGCCAACTCCCACTCATTAGTACGCAGTCTCAAGGCAGTCAACTATGAACTAGATAGTTCCAGTTACCCAAACTGCATCAAATCGTCCCCCCATGAAATGCCTTACTCCTGCAGAGTTACAAAGTCATCGCGAATGTGGTCTCTGCTATTCTTGTGATGAAAAATACTCTCCAGGTCACAAGTGTAAGTCTCTTCCCCAACTTCTAGTGTTATCTAATGACTCAGAGGCAGAAGTAACTTTATCAGATCAAGTTGTATCGGATGATGCCTTAGCCGAGGAATTACAATGCTTGGAGGTTCAAGAACACTCTGCTATTTCATATCATGCACTATCTGGAGGAAATTCTTCCACTACTCTCCGGTTTACTAGTCATGTTAATGGGTCTCCAGTACAGGTGCTTGTGGACAACACTAGTACTCATAATTTTATTCAAGCGAGGATGGTTAACTTTCTTCAATTGAAAACTGAACCAACACCAAGTTTTTCAGTGGTAGTAGGAAGTGGCAAACAACTACGATGTGAGGGCGTGGCTAGAAAAAATCCAATAACCATACAAGGCAACAATATAGTGGAAGATCTATATATTTTATCCCTTCATGGTTCTGATATAGTACTCGGAGTTTCATGGCTCGCAACTTTGGGACCTGTCCTAACTGATTATGCAAAGAGGATATTTGAATTCACTCTAAATGGTGCCAAGGTCTCGTGGAAAGGGGATGCACCTACTGATGTGAAACCAGTGCAATTACATAGCTTGAGAAGAATGGCTGCTACTGATGCAATTTCCTCCTACTTCCATCTAGAATTGGCATCTGATTTGGAATCTTCATGTACTACTCTGTCTGAGTTAGAAGTGATGCTCAAAATATATGAAGATGTATTTCAGAAACCTTTGGTTTTGCCTCCTCCACGAAGTCAGGATCACAAAATTTCATTTAGTTCCAGGCGGAGGACCAGTTAATGTGAAACTGTATCGATACCCTTATTTTCAAAAGCATGTTATGGAGCAATTAGTGGCTGAAATGATTAAAGAATGGATAATCAAAACTAGTACTAGACCATTTTCTTCACCCATATTGCTGGTCCGAAAAAAAGATGGCACCTGGTGATTTTGTGTCGACTATCAGGCATTAAATACAATCACAATTCGTGATAGATTTCCAATTCCTACCATTGACGAGCTTTTTGATGAATTGAATGGTGCCCGCTATTTCTCCAAGTTGGATTTGTTGTCAGGTTATCATCAAATTAGGGTCCGTCCAGAGGATGTTCCTAAAACAGTATTTCGCACTCATTTTGGACATTATGAATTTCTCATCATGCCATTTGGCCTTACTAATGCACCCTCTACATTTCAGGAAACTATGAACGAGATATTCAGACCTTACTTGCGTCGATATGTCCTGGTTTTCTTTGATGATATTTTGATATATAGTCCTACTTGGGCTGATCACTTGGAGCATTTAGTCTCAGTTCTTTAATTATTGCGTCAACATCAGTTGGTGGCCAAACAATCTAAATGCTTATTTGGACAAAAATCAGTTGACTACCTGGGACATATTATCTCGTCTCAAGGCCTATCTGTTGACCCTGGAAAAGTGGAATCCATCTAGCGATGGGCACCACCTCGTACAGTGAAGGAAGTGCGCAGTTTTCTCGGCCTTGCAGGTTACTACCGACGGTTTATCTACCATTATGCTTCCATAGAAAGTTCACTCACTGATTTTCTAAAGAAAGAGGTTTACCGATGGACACCAGAAGCTCAAATAGATTTTGAAACTTTAAAGGCAAAATTGGGTTCCACCCCTGTATTGGCCTTGCTAGATTTCAATCAGGGAAAGGAATTGGTGCTATTCTGTCTCAAAAAGGGCACCCCATTGAATATTTTAGTCAGAAATTGAGCACAAGGATGCAGCAAGCTTCAACATATCATCGTGAGATGTTTGCTATTACACAAGTTGTGAGTAAATGGAGGCAATGCCTTCTTGGCACGAGATTTACGATACTAACTGATCAGCAGTCCTTGAAGAACCTCACTAATCAAACCATCCAAACTCCTGAGCAACAAAAATGGCTCACTAAACTAGTAGGTTATGATTTTCATATCATATACAGACCTAGAAAACAAAATTTAGCTACTGATGCCCTCTCTTGCAATTCAAATGCATCTCTTGTGGCCATTTATGTCAGGACCTTTAATCTCGAACAAGAGTTGAAATCATTGAATCGATCTCATCCAGAATTATTGGCTATTCAGCAAGCTTTACAAACAGGTGTCGAGAATCACGGGGATTACCAATTCAAGGATATGATGGATTGTTATTTTTTAAAGGTAGGTTGGTGATTCCATCAGATGCACAACTCCGACATAAGTTACTGTTTGAGTTACATGCCACAAACATCGGAGGGCATGCTGGTGTGGCACGGACATATCATAGACTGGCCTCAAATTTTTGGGAGCCAAATGCGCAAGGATGTGAAATCATTTGTTATGACCTGCCAGATATGTCAACAGATGAAAGCCACAAACTTGCATCCAGCCGGGTTATTGCAGCCCCTCCCTATACCGGATCAAGTCTTTGAAGATATTGCAATGGATTTTATCACTTGCCTTCCAAGTTCCAAATGGAAGACTACTATCCTTACAGTTGTAGATTGTTTGACCAAATATGGTCACTTCATTCCATTATCTTCCACTTTCTCTAATCAACTAGTAGCGGAAGAATTTATAGTGGGTGTAATTCGCCTTCAAGGTCCTCCTCGCACTATTGTCATTGATCGTAATCCACGATTCCTCCATTCTTTTTGGCAGGAAATCAATCGTTTGCAAGGTTTGACATTAGTTATGAGTACTACATATCATCCACAAACTGATGGACAGCTTGAGGCTCTAAATAAATGTCTTGAACAATATCTCCATTGCTATGTTGCTGATAATCCAAGCAAGTGGGTCACAATGCTACCTAGGGCGGTACAATACTTCGTACCAACATTTGCTGGAATGACACCATTTCAAGCATTGTATGGGCAAGAACCTCCCACTGTAACTCGATATATATTGGGAAGCACTTCTAGTGAATTGGTGGCGGCTTACTTAATTCATCGTGACGCAGTTCTGGAGTTGTTGAAAGGGAATTTGATCAAAGCACAAACAAGGATGAAGAATTTTGCAGATAAACATCCTACTGAGCTAGTGTTTGCATTGGGCGACTGGGTTTTTGTGAAGTTGAAACCATATCGACAACTTTCTGTGAGGCTGAAAGGGGTCACAAGCTTGGAAGACGATACTTTGGTCCTTTCAAGGTCATCAAGCTCATTGGAGAGGTGGCATATAAATTGGAGTTACCCATCAAGGCCAAGATACATCATGTATTTCACGTTTCAGTTCTTAAGTGTTGCTTGGGCGAGCCTATCCAACAAGTAACACCATTGCAGCTCCAAGATTGTCCTGACCAGACTGAGATAGATGACTTCAACCTTGAGGATAAGGTGGATTTTCAGGAGGGGAGTAATGTTGTGAAATCAGTTGATACATCTGTTAATTTGAATAATAAAGAGGATGCGGCAAGTGATGATTTATGCATTAGCAAACACGTCGGAGTACTAGAAGTGTAATTCCACCTTAAAGGTTGGACAGTTACCTTTGGGCTGGAAGAAAGTCATGTGAGCAGGGCAAGAGTTAGTTATGGAATTAGTATAGAAGTGTGAGAACGTGGGTAGGAAAGGATAAGGAAGTTATTTGTGATTCTGAATAATCTCATCTCCTTCTTCTGTCTTCTGAACCCCTTCTAGACTTCTAGTTTTAGATTTCAAGTTTATTTCCCTAAGTTGTTGTTTCCTGTAATTTCCTTTGTTGTGTATTATCGTTATTCAGCAAACATATATGTGTATATATATATCAGTATTTGTATTTGTTTCAGATGACCCCCAAAAAGAAAATTGCAGATGAACTGTCATTTAGACATATTAACTATTCTACTGACCACATAGACACTTTTTATTGACATGAGTGTGTCTTATGAATATCCAGTCTGACCTGGAAACATGCATATTCCTTTCTTGGATCTTATTCTAAAGTTGGCTTTGTCCATCTTGAAAAAGAGTCTTCGATAGCGCCAAACTTAGCCAGAGCATCTGCAATATATAGTATTAGCCTCCTGATAACACTATAGTGAGAAGACATAGTTTCTCCTTAATTTTCATATTCCAGGGAGGTTTGACCACATCTAGCCGAGCACCTTTTCTTCCAACACATTCCTGTTATGGTAAACAAAATCAATAAACTATTTTCTTGCATACTTTTGTTTATAACACCTAAACGAGATTTAAATATCAAATATCAGTAGACATATATAACAACACCACCTCACTATAGCATTGATGAAATTTTCACACAAACACTATCACTATAACGAGGTTTGTCTTTCTGTCAAGTTTAAGGGATTTTAGGTATTCTATCTTTTAGTTATAATTACACATTAACATTAAATTTTGATATAACAATAATGTAAAACAATTTTTGATTTCACACAAAATAATGTGTTGACTCTTGTAATCCAAACACCGTTGTACATTTTTCATCGAAGGGGGTAAATTAGACACAAAGGTCATTTGATTCCCGCAAATACAAAAAGAAATAGTTTCCTATCTCAGTTTTTATGTGTTCTCAATAACAACATTTTCCATCTCTGCAAAAGCTAGACCTCAGGGGCTCTAAAAGGCTGATGCGAACACCAGATTTCATGGGGATGCCAAATTTGGAGTATTTGAATCTTCGAAGTTGTAGTAATCTTAAAAAAGTTCACCATTCCCTAGGATGTTCTAGAAAACTCATTGAGTTATTCTTGGATGTTTGTGAAAACCTTAAAAGGTTTCCATTTGTTAGCAGGGAATCTCTGGAACTATCTTTATGTTCTAGTTTACAGAAATTTCCAGAAATCCTCGAAACAGTGAAGCCAGAGTTAAAGATTATCATGCAAAAATCTGGATAAGGGAACTACCATCATCTGTTCAGTATCTAGCTCATACTATCAAGCAGCATTGGCTTGTTGAAAAGCTTGGTGGAGCTACATGTGTTGAATTTCTATAAACTTGAAAGCTTGCCAGAAGAGATAGGTGATTTAGAAAATTTGGAGCTGCTTGCTGCTCAGTGGTGTCTCATTTCATGACCTCCCTCTTCCATTGTCCGCTTCAACAAGATTAAACACTTGACTTCTGAAAAACAAAATTCAGAAGTAGGCCTGGAAGATGGATTGTTCTTCGTGTTCCCTCAGGTGAATGCCGGATTTCTCTCATTGGAACAACTTGATCTCAGATACAGCAATTTAATCGCCGGAGGAATTCCAAAAGACATTGGATCCTTATTCTCTTTGAAAGTGTTGAATCTCACTGGAAATAATTTTGAACATTTGCCTCAGAGCCTAGCCCAGCTTTGTGTTGTTGAACACTTGTCCTTATCCTATAGCAAGGGGCTCAAAGAGTTTCCAGGTTTCATGCGGATGCCAAACTTTGACACTTAGATTCTGTCAAAATGTATGAATCTAGAACAGTTACCAGATTTCACGGGGATGCCAAATTTGTTGACTTTAGATCTGTCAAATTGTATGAATTTTGAAGAGGTTCATCATTCTCAATGATTTTTTTGAAAATCTCTTTGGTTTAACTTGACTTTATGTATAAAATTTAAGAGGTTTCTGGGTCTTTGCATTGACTCTCTTAAGTATATATATCTACGGGATTGCTCTAGTTTAGAAAAAATTCTGGAAATCCTTGGAAGCATGAAAGTGAAGTTGGATGTTCACATGCTAGACAGTGTGATGAGGGATCTAAATTCGATGTGTATTTCATTCAGTTTCTTATTCAGTTTTTATCCACTTTGTAAGTGGCTGCTAGATAAGAAATAATCATCTTTCTTCTTGTATAATTTCAAATGTTCTCCATGTTAATGATATGCTGCAATTTTAATGAGTTCTTTTTGCTTTAATACTTCAATTCTGTTGTAGGAGAGTTCCATGTTTTATGGTTTCATTAGAGCCTCTGGTTGTTCTTACCGGACCAAAAAGTTTTAACCTAAAACACAAATGAAATCCAACAACCTACCTTTAAATCCACCATTCACTTTCACCGGTGGAAATTACCAAATTTGATCTGTGAAGATGCAAGCTTTTCTGGAAGCCTATGAACTTTGGAAAATTGTGATGGAAGAGAAATCAGTTGTTGCTCTACCAACAAATCCTACCTTGGCTCAAATCAAATCCAACAGTGAAAAGAAAACAAAGAAATCTAAAGCCAAGTTTCTTATGCAGAATGTTGTGGCAGATTCTATGTTCTATGGAATCATGGCTTTTAAAACAACAAAAGAGGTTTGACATAGGTTGAAAGAACAAGATCAAGGCAACAATAGAACACGTCAAATGCAGGTGTTGAACTCGAAAAGAGAGTTCGAGTTCCTAAATATGTTGGAGGATGAAACAATCAGTAAGTATGTTGATCGAATCTCCTTGATTGTTAATAACATTAGACTTCTTGGTAAAGAATTTACAGGCAAACGAATTGTGGAGAAAGTTCTTGTGACTCTTCCTGAGAGATTTGAATCTAAAATTTCTTCTCTTAAGAATCAAAGGACATGAGCAAACTCTCACTAGGTGAACTAATGAGTGCTCTTCAAGCACAATAGCAAAGAAGGACTATGAAACAGAACAAGTTCACTTTAGGCCTTCACATATGTTGAGCTGCTCCTGGCTATATATTACTCCGGCAAATTGATTTACACCACTGTTTACTTGATTCCCTTATGTAATGATGGGATGGCCCAGGAACTAGATTCAGAAATGTCGTGAATGAGCTGGGTACTAGAGGTACCCAACCATCCACAATGTGATGAGAGTTCCCAGTGAGCGGGATACTAGAATTGTCCGACCATCACGGATTTAATAGAGAATCTACTTTCCAGTTTTGCTAGGTACCTCACTTATGGGATACATCCAAGGCAAATGGAAAAACGTCAAAAGACTATAGGTGCATTAGGTTATCTAGCACCCAGAATGTTATTGAAATCCATATTAATCATGGCAACAATTATATACGGATTTCAGTAACATAACAACTCACCACACTATTCCAATAACTAATTTCAGACTCAATGTCTTCTAAATAAATTCCGATAATCGACTGCTCACCATGTTTCTCCAGAACAATGTAGTCTAGCTTGAATTCAATATTGGATAGTTTAGAAATATCGAAAGTGTCCCACACTATTCTTGCCTTTGGCATCTAAACCATTTCCTCTTCTTCATCATCGGCCCATGCTTTCGTTCCACTTCCAGATAGAGACCCTTGTCTCGAAGGTTGTGGATGAGTGATTTTGGCCTAATGTTTTTGTGCTATTGCACGTCTCCTTTCTCCGTATCCTTAGCCTTCTGCGCCGCTAACTGAGCTACTTTCTCTACCTCTTTCTGCAGGTTTATTGCTGCACTAGATTCAGATCCAATTTCGATTTGTTCCTGGAGTTCAAGCAGTTGTGCCGTTTTTCCCCTTAGTTAATATCCTTTTGTTGCTGCTTCCTGTGCCATTAGAGCCTTCTGTGATGGTCAACTTACAGTGTCTTTGATAAATCGGTCATAACTTTTTTTCTCCAGACATGGATTGACAAACCGTCGATGGAGTTGGAAAGAAGACTCATACACCTTTAATGTGATAGGTCATGGGTTACCTTACTTTTCATATTCGAATAGATATGGTTGTTTGAAGTTGACTCTTATATGAACTCATGTGAAAACTTAGCCGGTAGGAAAACTTTGAACTCGACTTAGTGCTAGAGGTTCCTTATGACTCTAATTCAAATCTAATACATCTAAACACTTAGGAATTGATCTTTACACATATATACAATTATAAATTATCGGGTTTCGACTTATACACATATGGAGAATGGTTCGAACCTTCGCTTAGAAGTTGCGGGGTGTTACATCATTAATTATAAAAATGATCTAAGTAAAACAAATAAAATGAAACATGTAACCCACCAAATTATGAACCTGCTTATTTGAAATTTTAAAGTATGTTGATGGCTAAAAATAAGGTATATCCAAGCAATTTTTCAAAGATCAGTTTATTTCTGACTTCTAAGCCTAACGCCAATATATTATGTCATACAATTCCAATTCTGATATATGAAACAGACAATCCACTACTTCCTCTAGTACGTCTTTGTTCTGAACGCACTACTCTGAAATAATCATTTTAAGTAATTAATTCCTATTCACAATGTAACATTTGACAGTAGATGTCAATGGAGACTACGCTTCTTCAGTAGGGGAGAAACTATTTGAGCTCGAGCATTGGAGCTACATTGGAAATAGTCCCCCTAGGCGCTTCGTTCATCCACTCATTTTGGCAAAGTTATAATCTGCGATTTGCTTTTCAGGCCAGCTATTGTTAGCAAATGGAAAATGTGATTATATTTCAAAATGAAATTTAAAAAGAACGAATTCTTGCTTACCCAAGTTCTTTCGTGAATCTCTTTCTCAGGTACAGGAAATATGTCCCTTCATAGGCAGTGTCACCGGTTCTCTTCTCAAAATACCATCTTCTTCTTCTCAGTTTGCACACTACCAACAAGGCGGTAGACTGTAAGATTGAAAAACTATTCATAATCCAAAAAGGAGCGACCACAATTAGTATTCTGTCATTTACTTTTAACATTTTTCCCTAAAAACTTATGCCTCTTCAATTGTTTCATCTTTTCAGTGCATAAGAAAGAGAGATATTTGTATTTAAATCAAAGATTACGTCTGATATGTTAAGAAGTTTTGGGAATGATAAATCAGTGAAAACAATACAACAAAATCAAAAATAAATTTAGACGGAAGATCAAGATAGGATGCAAGTTGCAAAAAAGGACCAGTTTTCTTTTTGGTTTACCTCACTTTTTCCTCTTTTTCATACTTACAAATTACTCGCCCGTTATTGATTTTTGTTCAGTTCACCACTAGAAGAAGCTTTGATATTTTTAATAATTCAACTACAACATTAATAGAAGAAAAGAATAGCAAAAATACAAGCAAAGAAAAACTAGAGGCAACACAAATATTAGAATATTACCTATATTTATTTAATCTAAATTCCTTGGTTTGCAGCTGAAGAAACTGACGACTCTCCCAAGAATATTAGAATGTTTCTTAGAAGAGGAGCAATTCGCGTCAAGCTCAGGATCAACTTTATACAACAAACGTAATCCATAATGTTTCATTTCACCATAGAAACATAACGTAAAAAGCCCATAGTCATTTGGTGTTCTCCCATTTTCCTTAGATGTATCCCATAAGTCAGAAAGAGGTATCAACAAAAATGAAATCTCAGGATTACATTCTGAATGGTTGGATAAGGCAAGTTTCTGGGTGATACCCGACATCCCATCATCACATAAGGGAATCAAGTGAGCTGTCATGTCAATCAATTTTCCAGAGTAACATACAGCAAATCCCAAGAAGTTATCACGTACGTACCAATTTTTAGGCAAATTTACTGATACACTTGTACTAGTTCCCTGATGGTGGAACCAACCTGGGATGTTGATCCCCCAACTCATAAGCGCTCTTAGTGACAAGGAATCTGAAGCACATGAGATATTCTGAAACAACGAATTACAGATCAAATCATTGCTCCAATCTGCAGATATTGTATGCAATTGCTTTGAAAATTCTGGTAGCTGTGGAAGCCTCTTGCAATTTGATAAGTACAAGGTTTCAAGATCACCAAGTTGGCTATGCTTTCAGGCAAATGCACAAAAATTATTTCCATTGAGATGCAACTCTTTCAAAGACGATAAGCATCCAATGTCTTCCGGAAGTCCTCCATCTATTAAATTGCAGAAACTGAGATTCAGAATTTCCAATGAGCGTAACCCTTCATTCACCTGAGGGAACACAAAGTACACTCCATCTTCTAAACATTGTCCTGAAAAACTCAAGGATTTAAGCTTGTTTAACCGTACGATGGAAGAGGGAGGCTGTGAAATTCGAGTGCAGCTGGCATCAAGCTCCTCCAAGTTTTCTAAATCACCTATCTCTTTGGGCAAGTTTATAAGTTTTGGGCACCACGACACATCTAGCTTCACCAATCCTTTCAACATGCCAATGCTACTTGGAAGAGCTACAATTTTTTCCATGACTGACAAATCTAACTTTGTAAGATGAGCTTGGTGCTGAATAATAGATGATGGTATTTCATTTATCCCAATGCCTTTCACCTTTATCTCTAACTCCGACTTCATTCTTCCAATGATTTCTGGAAATATCTCCAAACTTTGGCAACCCTCTAGATTCAGATGTTCAAGAGACTTCACATTAACACATGGAAAACTCTCAAGGCTTTCACAACGATACAAATTTAACTTAATGAGTTTTTTGCAATCACCCAGGGAAGAGTGAACCTCTTTAAGACTACTACATTTCTCCAGATTCAAACACTCCAAATTTGGCATCCCCGTGAAATTTGGTGTTTGCATCAGTCTTCTAGA